ATCAGCAACACTAATTGAGTGAGTCCAGAAATGAGAAGCATGCACAGGTTCTCCCTGTGGGGTAAACAGTTCAGTCTGCATCCACACACACACACATTTGCCCACAAATTCATGCTAATGTAATTGATTTTTTAAACACTTTTCATACTTTATGGTCACCATCAAATGAAAACTTGGTCAAATAAGTTGGAGGGTCATTTCCAGTGAGGTAGAGTTGCTCATGTGTGCATCTGCTGCAGCGCCCAGAATCTTTCATGTGTTGCAGCTGGAAAAGTTTCTTAAGTGAGTCTTTTAGAGCAGTGATTCTCAAACTGGGGTACATTTATGTTCATTATGTGAATAGGTAACGTTTTAAATTGGCTTGTGATACCGTAAATTTTCTCAAAACTGTACTTTTTGGATGTTGAAATTAATTTTAATTCAGTGTGTCTTGAATGAAAAATACTCCACGTTCAAAAGTATAAAAAATGTATTAACGCTACTAAAAAACAGGTCTTAAGTATTTATGTTACACAAATATTCCCATTACATTTTAAACAAATTGAAGAAAATTATTTAATAAACATGAGGGTTATGAGTGGGTCCCTGAAACGTTTTCTCCCCTGTAAGGGGTCCCCGAAACCAAAAGGTTAGAGAACCCTGTTTTAGAGTGATGGCCATTGAAATTATTTAATTCAATGCTTTGATGCATGTTCTTTTACAGAGTTGTACAGTGAAATGTATTTATTCTGAGACAGGCAAGCGATTTCTGTTTTTAAAGTGCACCTTTAAATAAAAGCCTGCATTGGAGCATCCCAACAGTCTACAGACAGATAATATAAATGAAATCAAAATGTCTCAAAGAAATGCCAGGGGAAAAAGGGTTTGCTGTTTTCATCCATTTTATTTGTATTAAATATTACATATAACAACACAGAGGACAAAATATTTTAATAAAACATTTGTCGTGTGAACAAACATGATTTAAAAATTGAGCTGGACAGGAAGTGAACAGAAATATTTTGGCTAAACACTTTTTGTCATAGATTTGATTAAACCAGTTCCTGAAAAGTTCCGCTAAAGAAAAAAGAACATGAAGAAAGAAACTTTGCATTCTGTGGATGGATCACAACAACAAAGGCTAACTAGTAGTTTATATTAAAGAAATACATAAATATCAACCTGGAACAGCAAAAAGCAGCTTTATTAGACCATCGTCCACTTTTAGGATCCAAAATAAATCGCAGTGTGACGGCTATCTTAGTAATCTCAAGCAGGAACAGAAAGAGTAAAAAGTTGGATTTTAAAGATAAAGCAGAATCAACACACTCATGTTGAGTGAGCTGGCATTTATACACGAGAATAAGCAGAACGATTCAATAAAAATAGTCATTTTGTTTTCTTCTGTACCACTAAGGCCTGAAACTCTTTGGCTATAAGTCAGACCTCTGAATACTTAAAAAAAAATCAATTTCTGATGTTTTAACTTCTTGCATACAAACAAAACCTGTTTTGAGCCATCATACACTCATTTACACAAACACAAATAAAAACTACCATTAAATCAATAATTTATGCGCAAATATATTTTATAATTACAGTTACTTAAAAAGAAATAAAAATACAATTATAAAATTTAAGGATTAAAATTTATTTTTTTCTTTACATAAAACTGAACAAGATGATTATCATTATTTTCATTTCCATATTTATTATTACCATGATTAATATAATTATCTGCGATTGCTAGCAACTTTAGGAAACTATTGCTGACAATAAACATAAATAAGGCAAAAAAATAAAATGTAAAAATAAATAATTTTCCAAGAAATGTAGTGTCTTCAATGCACAACATGCAGCAAAAAAAATAAAAAAATAAAAAACTGAGATTCTTAAGGTGTTTTCATTTTTGAAGAAACTTGTCCCCGAGCAGTGAAACTCACTATAAGTTTATCCTTTCAGTTTGGAAAAAAAAAAAAATTACTTTGTGAGAGACCTCAAGGCCACATTTGAACTACAATCTCAGATGTGGCCTCTTTCTTTCATGACATGTGACATAAGCAGCTGCCTCCCTCTGCGGTGTGCTCCTCGGAGCAGCTGAAACGAGCACAGCCGCTTCAAACACGGAGCAAAAATAAAACCTGTGTGGGCAGTTAAATACTCTCTTTACATTTCCCACGGTGTCAACGACATTCAAATCCAGGTTTGAATTAGGGATGTAAAAACTAAAGAGGTCAAACTGCAACAGAGCAGGACCACCTGTAAACAAATACAGCAGAGTCCAGATGTGGAAGGAGCGACTCTGCTGCTGCCTGCGAGTTCTGCTCAGGTACATAATTGTGTTTATCAGATCTAAAATTACTCCCTGATTAAAAAGCTGGAATGAAAATCAGCAGCAGTGTAGGTCCCAATGCACTGAAACGGGGCGTCACTGCAGCAGAGTTTATGGCAGATCCAAGCTGTGGCTCAGCAGAGGGAACAGACAGAACTAAAGACCTGAACAGAACCAAAGGAGGGCAGGTGATGGGTGGAAAAGGAGGCAGCAAATGTTTGGATGCTGTAGGAAACATGGTGTACCGAAAAGAAGGACTACATTAAAAACATGTAAAAATGAATTGGAGTGTGAGGGGACAGAGGTAACGATTAGAATCAAAAAGAAGGACAACGATGTCTGAGAAAACTGGACCACGAGGAGAGCTGGAGCTGCCAACACTCAGAACAAAGCCGCTGCCCTTCAGGCTTCTTGTTTTTTCACCTCCACCAGGTTTTTCCCTCATGAAGTGTGCATTACAGCACACACACGTAATTTACACAACTCCCCTCAAGCCTGGTGCTATTTAGAGACAGACAAGGTCAACAACCTCTCCAACATCTCACATGGTTTATAGATGCCAGGAGCTGTGAACTATTCGACGACTACAAGTTCCCGGTTGACAATGTGGGATCCATTTAGCTCTGAGCCGAAGGGGGAACGTTCTGTATCTGTTCGATGATCTTGTCAGTTTGCAGGAAATATATTCAACAGCAGCTCACTAAACAGGTTGTTACACAGTCCATATGGAAAAAAAAAAAAAAAGAGAAAAATATTGGGGGTTTTTTTTACTATAAAACTGATAAGCGCAGCAGGTTATGGCAGTCATTTGAATTGAGCTCAAACAGTACATATTTGGTTCAGTATTTAAAGACAAAAAGTGAGTACTGTTGTCTGAATGAGGAGCCGTTAGGGTAAATCTTTAACGACACAGCAGAAAGTAGAAAATATTCTGTCGGTGCAGTTTAAAAAATTAACTAAAGCTGTATTTGCACCTAGGGACCACATGTAATAAATAAATTACTCCCCAACGTCTGCTTTTTATTTGGTGCATTCACACGGGATAACCAAAGCCTGAGATTTAGCTGAAATGTGCGGACGTCTTCTGGATACAATGTTAACGCGCTGCGTATAAGAACTATTTCTAACCTGAACCCAGAGCCCGGCCCAGCCCGATCCAGTTTCGGACTGGGACGGTCCATAATAATGTGCTTAATGGGCAGGCCGGGCTGGTCTCAAGCTTTGATGCAGTTTTATGAATCATAGAGCACAAAGAAAACTAAGTAAGAATGCACAATATAAAATTGTGTTAATCTACTTATTGAGGAGGAGGCAGGTCTGACCGGCTGGTTTAAAGAGGTAAAAAAAAGTTGCATTAAGCTCAGATGGACAACCTGTCACCGGCCGCACATGTCTACTGACCTGCCGGATGAAATGGACTTGCGACCTATCCAAGGTGTCCCTCTCGCACAGTGATGGCTGGACATGGGCACCAGCGACCCCCGCTACACAAAAAGGAAGAAGGGGGTAAATATAATGGATGTATGTATGATCAGCTGATCACCGGCTCCACACCTGCTGTCATCTGCGATGAAGGAAGTAGCAGCATCTAAAAAAGCCGAAGCGAGCAGCGCGTTTATTTAAAATAGCCTTGTTCTATATTTTTACAAATGATTTTGCTTAGAAAAAAAATCCTAATTACGTATCGGATCCCGCCCATTTCTGTCCAAATCACAGCGATGCCTATTCGCATTGGATTAGTATTATCACAAGACCTCGGAGTTCAGCAAAATATAGTAGGTAATTTGCAGATGAATTTTTTTACTTTACAAATTACAGACAGGGTAGAATCGCATGGGATTAACAACACAGATAATCTCTGTAATTATTACAAATAGCATGTGGTCCCTAAGTAAAACTAATCCTGTGCAAATAGGGCTTAAGAGCAGCGTGTAAACTAATGGTTTCTGTTGCTTTCATGTTGGTATTTGATCAGGTAAACGACTCTGTGTGATTCCTATCTATTGTTTGTGTATTGTAATACTATACATATCGGGTTTTTTTGCTATCTGAACACTAAAATGGGTAGACCTTTGGAACAAATTGTGCCAAATCTAATAACTGTTTGGTTTAATGTCAGACTGGTGTGGTATTTATCCTGTTTTAGAATGAAACTACACATTAAATAATCATAGACACAGACTGAATCAGAGTATATTGTCAGTTAAATTTTCTACCTGGTATTTGTACAGTAAAAAAAAAAGAAAGAAATAATTCCAGTTTTAAGCAAAGAATACATCTGATTTTTTTTAACCACTTTGGCTGTGGCTGCCTCAGACGAGTCGGCAGGGGAGAGGGCAGACTCCAGAAACCATCTTATCACCATCAAACTTGTTGACCCACTATGTGAAGGCGCTATTTATAAGACTATGTTTGTTGTGGCTCCTCAGACTGATGAAGTCTTTTAGATGAAAGATGATCCGCCCAGAGGACCTGACTTAACTTTGTTGGAATACATCAGATTGTTCATACGGAGCTTTTTTTTTTTAAATATAAAAAGTTGTGGCGTTTGAGTCCCTTCTTGAAACACTGAGATGAAAACTGTTTATGTAACTTTATGGTAGAAAGAGTACAAAATGCTTGACAGTGTTTTTTTTTTTTCCCCCACAAATCCTAAAAAGCATGCAGGAGAAGGATTTTAACTGGGGAGCTTCACTGAAATATCTCTTTTTCTGGACCTCTGTGGAGGGAGGACATGATCTGATGCAGGATTTGGTGAGCTGAGAATGTATTACCTCAAACAGAAACGACAACCAGTCCTAAAATTCCTTGAACAGAGAATGGATTTTGGTGTTCAAGTTGAGAAATAACAGATAAAAAATTGGTTTTTAACAATGCAGACACCTCATCTTTTCATTCAGTTTTATCACCAAGTTATTAGTGCAGATGGTGAAGCAGAGATATCACAGACGATGTCTTTGTGTCAACGTGTGCATTCAAATGTGGGTGACTGCATTTGTGTTTGTGTGTATAGAGAAATGTCTGTGAGTGTGTGTGTGCAGTTTGTGTGTCTGTGGGCGTAAGCTCATCTGAACTGTCAGCATGACACAACGTGGGAGCTATGATAGACGGGTGAGTGCCTTTTTGCAATCTCACAGTCTGATATGTGCATTTGTGTGTGTGCCTGTGTGTGTGAACTTGCATATGAGCGAGAGGAAAAGCCAACAAATGTTTGAGCAAAGTGTGGATAAAGGCATGGTCTGGATTGCAAAAAGTGATTGTAAGCGCATGAAGGGGTGAGTTTATCAGGAAAAGCAGCAGTTTCTCTTTAAATTCGCACTTGTCCTCACTTAGCTTGATGATATGTCTGCTTATGATTGGAATGATAATGATTGTGTGTCTTAAGTGTCTCTCTGGGTGAGAGCTTGCAGCTCGGCAGTATGTAGAGAATGCTGCAGGAAGACGTTTTTACGACTGTAGCTATGTAGGGACAGAGGACCTCGAGGTGGCTGCCCTAATCGGCCGGTGAATGAAGAGGAGGTTGAGGAGGTAGAGGAGGTGGCTAAGGAAGAAGTAGGTGTAGGTGAGGTTTGCTCTGAGGTTGAGTTGTTTCGAGAAGGGCTCCCCCTGCTGGCAAGGCTGTGGAGGCTCGAAGAGGCGCTGGCTCCGACTGCACGAGGGATAAGACATGGTGGACGGTGATCGCCACCTCCTCTCTTTCCTCCTCCTGGAGTAAGAGACTCAGAGGAGGAGGACACCCCCTCAGGCTGCTTGGATACAGGAGGGGTGTGAGCTGAATCCAAGCTGGAATCTGGGCATTGATTTGAACTGAGGTTTGGGTGTGAAACTTGAACCTGCACAGGTGGGGTGGGCTCTGGCTGAGCAGAGAATGAAGCCATGTTTAAAGGAGCGATACGGGCTGCTGACTGACCCAACAACCCCAGGTGGTGGTGCTCTTCTCTGGCAGTGTGGCACTCAGAAGCCCGACCATGCACAGGCAGACAGTGATAGGGGTGGTGCTGGTTAGTGAGGTCCCCTCCGAGTGCTGCCCCCAAGCCCCGCACCACCCTTCGGTCCCTTAGAGCCAGGCTGCTGCTGCCTGGTCCTAACCACCGGCCTGGATGGTTGATCTAAAAAAGAAAGACAAAAGCTAATTTTAAAAAAGAGCAACTTAACTGAGAACAAGTGAACAACTCACTTTGATCCTTTGTTTCTGAGTAAGCCTGTGACGAAGCCTGCCATTTTTCAAATATTAGTCACTGAACATGTCTCTAGAGAAAATACAGACAGACAGAGACAAATGGAGAGACGGGAAACATGAGAAAGTCCTGCTCCGTGTTCGGTATAGATTGTTAATTGGATGACATTTGGAGAACGATCTCTTTGGGCTTTTGCAGCTTCATCTAATTGTTTCTAAACCAACCGGAACCCTGCTCTCTAAAGAGCCAACACACACACAGACTCAATAGAAACAGGACAAGGTAGCATGTGTATGTATTATGTGCTCGAGGTATGAACGAATCCCTGCTCACAAAGCAACGGGCTCTCACTCCCTATCACACATACACACACTTGAACACAATAGGGAAGATGGCACATAAAGCTAGATGGCAGAAAATGGAGCCACCTGTTCTCTTTCACACACCACTGCACCCCCTTATGCAACATATCTCATCACTGGCCCTCTTCTCTCTCTAACTCTCAATCTCACACACATACAACCAAAATCACACTGGGGCCGACTGTGCAGTGTTCAGTAAAGAAACACAATCTCATCTGACACTGAACCTCCAGGGAAAAGTGAGCGGATTTGACATTTTCTAACACAATGGCTGTGTGTGTGTTTTTCTGGTCTGCAGTGTGCATATCTATGAGCATGTGTCTGTGTAATTGTATACACATTTATGGCATGTGTGCGTGTGAAACATGATGCCAGTGTGCGTTTGTTGTGTTTCTGTGTACTCAGGTATGCAAATTAATATAAAAAGAAACACTGTATTGAGGCTTTCAGGAGAAAGTTGGTGTGATGTAGTCATCCAACTGATTACATGCAATATAACAATGGCCTTTTCTATGCACAACTTTATATATACATTATAGCTCACTTAGATTTCACTTGGGTTTGCAGAAAACATAATTTCTTCCAAAGGTCTTCTAATGTCCCACAAATAAAACTGATGTGTACCGCAAACTAACCCACACAGACCAGTATTTGCAGTTTGACTCTCATCGCCCGCTGGAGCACAAGTTAGGAGTCATCAGGACTCTGTACCACAGAGAGGACAGCGTCTCCACTAACTCAGGAGCCAGGCAGAAGGAGAAATTCCGCACAAGACAGGCTCTAGAGCAAAGATGATATTCTAACTGGGCCTTCTTGAATGCAGAGAAGAAACCCTAACACAGGGGTGTCAAACTCCGGCCCTCGAGGCCTGGAGTTTGACACCTGTGCCCTAACAGGACTCCAGCCAACGAGGGAAAAGAAGGGACCCCAAACCCAGACTTAGACCAGTGGTCTTTCTGTACATTGAGGGAGTTCCAGAGAAACTGAGGCATTTATTTTCTAAATATGATGTTACAGTGGCTTTCAAACCCCAAAATACATTGTGGCAAAGACTGGTCCATCCCAACGATCCAGTCCCCCGGCACAAACAGAGTTATATTGTGTATGCTGTTCAGTGCCAGGAGGGTTGTGATCAGTCATACATTGATGAAACTAAACAGCCACTGGCCAAAAGGATAGTCCAGCACAGAAGAGCAACACCATCAGGCTAGGACTCTGCAGTCTATGCTAGAGGATGACATTTTTTCGGGAGTACCGCCGGTCACATGATTCCAGCTGGATTCCGGCGGGACCGGAGTCAACCTCATTATAACTCACGTGACCGGGACGTGACCGGACTGAAAGCTAACGGGAGCAGACAGGAGTGGGAACCGATCAATAACCAAAAATGAAAATGAAACAAACAAACAAAAACAAAAAACACGGGCGCAGCTATTTTGTAGTTTTCTTTCAGTAAGCCTTCACTTTAACACAAGTCAAAAGAACTACATTTCCCAGGAGTCAAGTGTTCGAGCCGTAGCTTTTCACCGCAAGGGGGAGGAGCAGCGAGCGAAGCGGTACCGAGTCTGAAAATAGTTTGCAACGCAAGGTAAGAAGTAACTGTCTGTCTATTAAACTCACAGAACAGGCAGGAAAGTGTCAAATAACCCTGAACTTCATGAGTTGTGTTGGTGCTGTGCTGATTTAAACTTTAGTTTCAGCTGTGAGGAGCTGCGGGGAGTCGGACTTTGTTTACCGTCAGTAAATGAACAGGCTCAAACAGCGCATTTTTCTCCACTATGTCCCTTTTAATTAAAAAATTATGCTCTGCTTTGTTATGTGGGTTTTTAGGTTAAAATCTTCATTATCTGTTGCTGTTTGTAATGTAAAAAAAAACCCCAAAAAACCTGAACTCTTCCTGGTTAAAGTGCACGCATTCTCCGGTAAAAATATCCCAGTTTTTATATGAAAGGCTGGTTGCATATACATTATAAAAACTGTTATTGTAGGGGGGACATATTGGTGCGAGGTCTGTGGGTCCTCCCCCATAACTTTTTTAATAAAGCAGCTGCTATTTCCTGCATTCTGGTGTATTTTAACAGGTTTAAAACATTTATGTTTACCTACATAAGTAAATCCTTTATTCAATAACTGTTTTATAAAGCATGGCACAAGAAGTAGCAGTAAGCTTTTTGTTTGTCTTTAATTTAATTTAATTTTTCTACCTAACACAGGAAGTTGTTTGGCTCTGGAAGCAAACTGTTAAACAGCTTTGGACACAAAGACCCTTGTCACACACTTCAAAAGAGCAGGTAAGATACATAAAATCTTGTAATCTCTGCCTGGGGAGGCTGATTAAATAATTGTACAATATGATAAGTGAAATAAAGAAAAATTGAGCTTCTGTAATTTATATTTGCAAATGTCACATTTTCTTGACTTAATTTCAATTGTAAATCTCTTGTTTTTGATAAAATGTTTTTTCCAAAAGAAAGGCCAACAAATTGTAATTTCTAGTCACGGTAACCCTATTTTGACTCGTGCACTGTCATCTTTCACTTTTAGGTTACACAAGGCTCTGGACTGGTCCAGCTGTGGAGAGATGAGGTGGAACACCAGACCTGCAATGATCCAGTCTGTAAATGATGCTCTGAAGTCTGGTAAGATGCACGACATCATGCTTCACCCAAACGAGCTCGTTACCTCGACCACATAGACTGAACTTCTTGAGGACGTCGTCCAATGTATAATAATGCCTTTAAACATTTTTATTTGTTGAGTTCTCTGCTTGGTACATTATTTTTCTTTTTTGTTTGTTTGTTTAAACAATTTAAAACATGACAGTAATGTCACTGTTTAAAGGCAACAATTGCTCAATAAATGAGTAAAATGCAACTTGTTATGTTTGGGTTCTTTCATCTAAGGTAGACATGGGGTGACCCATGTACTGGTTTAGATTTTTTGTTTTTACTGTAACTGACCTTAAAAAGCGCCAGAAACAAGGACTCAGCAGCTGATTCTCCATAGAAAAATTATATGGACTACAGGCCATGAATTATTTGTTTTATGATATTTAGTGAAGGTTTTTGTTTGGATTAAGGAAATAAATGTCTCTATTTTACCACAGATTAACTGTTCCTGTTGCCATATATTTTGAAATAAAACTGCACAACACAAAGTAATTTAAACAGGAATGGGTAGAAGATCAAATCAAATTCAATGTATTTCCTAAAAATGAAATGAAAAACAGGAGCAGGACAGGAGCAGGAGTCATGTTACCAGGAGTGGGACAGGACAGGATTATTTTTTTTACTCTGGACCAGGATTGGGACAGGACAGGATTTTTTTCTGTGGGACCAGGAGAGGACAGGAGTGAAAATCCACTCATGTGTCATCCTCTAGTCTACGCTCATCTCCAGGCCAGCAGTCACTCTTTAAGGGATGAAGATGTTCACATCCTTGATAGAGAGAAACAATGGTTTGAGAGAGGAGTGAAGGTCATCTTTGTGAAAAGAACCTGACCGTCGTTAAACAGAGGCAGATGCCTCAATATCCAATTTTTCCCCTCTTAATAATGTTGTTATTGTGAATACCACTCAGCCTTCTGTGAATAGCAAGCATCTATCAGGGCACTAACTATCGTTCCTTAGGCTGATAGTCCTCCGTTTGCATGTAAACAACTACTTTCTGTGTGGAATTTGCATGTTCTTCTCGTGCTTGTGTGGGTTTTCTCCAGGTACTCTGGTTTCCTCCCACAGATCAAAACCATGCATGTTAGGCTGCCTTCAGGCCCAGGTCTCCCTTGAAAAAGAGATCTGTGATCTCAATGAGATTTGCCTGGTTAAATAAAAGTTGATAAACTAATAAATACATTTTGTCTGTCACCAGCAAACTGGTCGATCCACTACGAGAAGGTGCAGCTTATAAGACTGAGTTTGTTGCAGCTTCACAGACTAACGTTTCGTCTTTTTGGATAAAAGATGTAACGTTTCAACAAAGAAGAATCCGTCCAGAGGACCTGACTCAATCTTGTTAGATTCATCTACCTGGATTATTGAGCATGCATCAGGGAACCTCCGAGCTATTTCTACTCCAGATAAGATATTGATTCCTGATAACTCCAGCGAACAGCATTTAAAAGAACTCAAACTATTCTTGCTTAATGCACATCTGTAGTGTATTTTTCCTATAAAAAACTGACTGTCTTGATTGTCTACTTGACTTTGGAGCCCAGTCAGCTGGGCGGGGGTGAGGGTGTGTTTTGTGTTCTGTCCCTTCCATCTAAGCTAAGACCATCCACCACTTCTTCTTTTACAAGGATCGAAGATTGGAGAACATTTTTAAACTCAGAACATTCTTTGGGATGATGCCAATATCACTTATCAAAACAACATTTTTTTATGTTTTACCTGACTTAAAAACGAGTGAAATTTGGCACAAAACCTAATCATACAAAACCACTTTTCTTCCTGAAACAATATAAATTTATCAAAACAGGCCACAGTGTCCATGTAAAAATTAACATTTACATTTTAAAGTAATACTGTGTAAGTTTAGCTACTAAATTTAATTCAAATGAAGATAAATATT